GAGCTGGATTTAGCCAGAATCCTCCCTTATCCCAATGTTTTGTGTTAGTAATTTTCCATCTACTGATCCCCACACTATTTGTTGGCTGTAAAACCCCACTTGTCTTTGTATTCTAAGTACCTCTCTCTCCTACCTTTTTTTTAAAAAGATGACCGGTAAGGGGATCTCAACCCTTGGCTTGGTGTTGTCAGCACCACGCTCAGCCAGTGAGCAAACCGGCCATCCCTATATAGGATCCGAACCCGTGGCCTTGGTGTTATCAGCACCGCACTCTACCAAGTGAGCCACAGGCCGGCCTACTTTATTGTTGTTATTAAAGCATGCACACACACCCTTCCCCCTCCATTTTCCTCATTAAATTCTGATGAATTGGTTTGGTGTCAGAGTAGGATGAAAGGAGTGGTCATAATTGTATTAAAACTGGGAAAGGTTTTAAAGCCCCATAAATGAGGCTCTTCCTCTTTTCCTGCTTTCTCTGTCCTCCTTTCTTTTAATTATACTCTCCTTAGCCCAGAAATAAAACTGTAGCAACATGTTAAGCTATGGAGTTGTTAAATCTGCTAGTAACACATGATTCTTATTACATACAGTTGGCTCAAATATTTCAAATAATTTTTCCTATCCATCTTTCTCCCTGAAAAAAAAATAAAAAAATCCTCTAAATGTCAAACAGCAAGAACTACCCCAAATCTAAAAATATGGCAGATATTCAGCAAATCAAAATGGTAAAATGATTTAAGTTTCTCCTACTTCACCTTTTGGCAGAATAATTGGTAGAATAAAGGAAATGTTTTCACAGAGAAAAGACAAGTCAATTCTTTAAATCTTAAAACTGAAAATTCATCATTGCTTTTTTTTTTTTTTTTTTTAAAAAGATGACCGGTAAGGGGATCTTAACCCTTGACTTGGTGTTGTCAGCACCACGCTCACCCAGTGAGCGAACCGGCCATCCCTATGTGGGATCCGAACCCGGGGCCTTGGTGTTATCAGCACCGCACTCTCCCGAGTGAGCCACTGGCCGGCCCCTATCATTGCTTTGATGCATTGCAAATACAGTGTCAGAAAAGAGAAAGGAGAAACTAAGAAGCATTAGCTTAAGTGACATTAAAGAAAATGGCTGGAGGTGGAATTTCTGCTCAACAATTCAAGGAGCAAAGGAACACATAGTAAACATGTACTGAAATATCACATTGTACCCCATAAATATGTACAATATTATACGTCAATTAAAAAGAATGATTTAAAAAAAGAAGCAAAGGAGCCAGAGGGATAGACTGCTCCTTCTGCATTGCTGATGAAAACAGGAAATTGATAATTTCTAGATGTTTTCTTTTTACAACTAAGAAAAAGGCAGATGAAGCACACAGAGACTGGCTAAAGATAGAAATAGTAGTGTTACCTGAAAATCAAAATCAAGAACAAGGAGTCCTACTCAACCCTCTGTAGTAACTAACTAGGTCCTCATAATTTCTTTGCTTAGGGACATCTTTGTTACTGAGATAGAGATATTCAGTCATTCACTCACTCACCCATAAATCCAATGAAAAAACATTGAGCACATAGTGGTGCCAGGTACTATGCGTGGAGGGAGGTGGGTAAAGGGAGGCTAATAAAAAGTAAAGAAATACCATCTCTTCCCATAAGGATTTAATAGTCTAGTGAGGGAGACAAATGAGGTGTCTCATTGAGCACAACTTTGCCCTTTTCAAGGCAGAAGCCACACTCCTGGAGAGAAGGAAAGCTAACAACAAAAAAGCATCCTTCCTTGAAAAAGTGAGGAATCTGGAACTGTATCTCAGTCTAAGTCCTGGTTCCTCAATTTCTAAGCCTGTGGTTTGAATACTGTTATTTAACCTTTCCAAGCCTCACTTTCCTGCATAAACTGGAAATAGTAATTCCTATCTACCTGCCAGAACTGAAGATGAAACGAGATGATACAAATGAAAGGACCTTGTAATATACCCGAGGTCCCAAGGGCTGGATCAACAGAGGAATCTAACATAGTTAGCTTAGGAAAGAGGGAAATGGTAGTTTTGCCTCAATGGAGGGACCTAGAAGGGGCACAGAAAGGTATCAACCAAACTTGGTGGCACCAAACCTTTGAATGGAAGACAGAAATGCAGTTGTTTTACAATTGTCCCCTTTCCCCCAAAATAAGAGCAGTATTTAGATTCTTTCTATTTGTCACTAGTGATGTATGTGTGCAAGGGTGCCAGCAAAAGGAATGAGGGATAAAGCAATGGATTTAGGGCACCTCTACTGTGTGACCTTGGGCTCACATTACTTCTTCGCGCTTCAGTTTTCTCATATATAAAATAAGGATTAAACTTCCTTCTTAATTATCCACCCAGCTTTTGTGAGGATCCAACCCGAATATATGGGAAAGCGCCCTGGAAGCGCTACAGACCCTGGCAAATGTTATGTTCAGCAATTTTTCCCCCTAACAAGTAGGCGTTCCGAAGAAAAAGGCACCTCCCTGCTTGCACTGTCATTCTCCTTTCTTCTAGACCTTTGTTAACTTCATAATTTATAATTACAGAAATAACAGAAATCCTATGGCCGTTTCTGGCACCAGGTTCTCAGGCCCCACCCAGATACACAGCACCAAGCAGCCCCGCCGGCTGGGACCGAAGGAAACTTAGCTCTTCTCCACCCGCGGGCGGGCCCTCGCCGTCAGGCCCCACCATTGGGAGTCCCCGAAGCCAATCCCCATAGCCCTCGTGCGCCAACCCGCCCCTTAGCGAGGGGAAACACTTCGGCGGTCAGGAAGAACGGCAGGGGCGCGAGCCAATCACTACAAAGGGCTGCCTTCATCCGGCAGAGCCTAGAGGCGGGGTCATCGGCCAGGATGGACAGCCAGGGTAGCCAATAGGATAATGGGAAACTGGGGAAAGGGCGGGCGCCAGGCTTCCATAGAGCGGTTACGGCCCCTCGAGCAAGGGGCCCAAGGACCCTGCTCGGACTACAGCTCTTCCCTTTATCCAGCCCAAAGTCCTCCATCCCATGGTTGCTGGCCAGCCGCCCTGCCTGCGGACTGTAGGTGGGGGAAAGACCGAGGCGGCGGTGGCTGAACCCGCCTGACAGGCCTGGCCAGTGACAAAGAGACGCCAGCCCAGGCTGTAACCTGGGAAGCGATCCTTTCGGGGAGGAGAACACAAGTCCCTTCAGAGATAGGAAGGACGCAACTCACATTGTCGATCACGACAGGCTGGTTGGCGATCACATCGTAGGACTCCATGGCAGAGGAATCTCTCCTTCCGAGGAAGGAACTGCCAGCCGGTCCGCTGCTAACGCCACTGGCACGCATGCGCAGTCTAGCCGCCGGTAAGGGGAGACTAGGGAGCGGCCCGACCTCGCCTCCGAAGAACTACAGTCCCCAGCGTGCCTTGCACCCTGGTTCGAGGACCTGCCGGCTTTGGAGCCCCGCCTAGTTTGAGAGACTGGACGTCGCATTTCCGACGCACAATACCTTGGGGTTTGTCGTTTTCATAAATTAAATAGACAGGGGCAAAGGTTGATGGTCGCGTTGCACGCCGGCATCTGTAGTCCCTATGAACGAGTTCGCAATGCATGCTGAAGTATGTAGTCTCTTCGAGTACTTGTCTGTAGTTCGGTTTGGATTGGTCAATAATTTGTGGATTTTACACGTCAGTCTTGCCACTCTCCCCACCCCCACCCCTTTCCCTTGGACAATATAACTGGCCGTGTTTTTTATTTGGGTCTGTAAGACATTAGTAAACATCCCCTAGCACCTCACACTCTAACAGGAAATTTTTTTTTTTCCTTTTTGTCTTTTTTTCGTGACCGGCAACGGATCGCAACCCTCAGTGTCGCGCCCGTACCGGACCGGGACCGGCAACGGGATGACCGGCAACGGATCGCAACCCTCAGTGTCGCGCCCGTACCGGACCGGGACCGGCAACGGGATGACCGGCAACGGATCGCAACCCTCAGTGTCGCGCCCGTACCGGACCGGGACCGGCAACGGGATTGCAACCCTCGGTGTTGCACCCGCACCTCGCTCAGCCAGTGAGCGGCCGGTCTGTATGTGGGATCCGAACCCTCGGCGGGAGCGCCGCTGCGCTTCCCAAGCGGCGCACTGTAGCAGTGCGCCACCGGGCTGGCCCTAACAGGAAATTTTAACACACACACACACACACACACACACACACACACACACACACACACGGGAAGAACATATTCCTAAAACAAAGGAAAATAATTTAACTTGCATAAAATTAGCTTTAAGAAAACAACTATGCAAAAGTCAAGCAAGGGTCCAGATCCCGTACCGGCCAGCGGCCAGAAAAAAAAAAAAGCTCTACATTGTATACATTGTCGCTGCTTTCCGCATTTTTGGATAGTTGTAAACTTTGTAACAGGCTAACATTGGTCTGAAGACTGGCATTTGGAACTACTGGTATAAATGATATTCAGGTCATTAAAACATCATCTAAGGGTTTAAGGAATTGCTCTAGTATCTCTTCAGTTTTCATGAGGAGCTAGAATTGACATCGATGGTTCAAAAAATGGAGGTGAAAAGAGATTATGTGTCACCGCTTTGAAGTGCATTTTTTTCTAGATTATTTCCTCCCCCACCCCTCTTCAAGTTCAGAGATTCTTTAGTCAACAGAATTAGGAAACATTAGATTTATAACCTATTAAAATTAATGCCACACGGACGAATTTATCAATCCATTGTCAGATTTATGTTTACATCGTTGTTAGCAGCGTGTCAGCAAAACGGTGGCAAGCCCTTTGTTGGCACATTTCTCAGTGCTTTCGTGGGACCCTAGCACCTCAGGACTCCTCAACATCTCTATTTAAACCTGGGTTCCTCCTAACACTAGGGGGAAGCCAAGAGCCTTGGGACACTCCCAACACAGGGAAAGAGAGGCGGGGCCTGTTGTTAAGTCACGCCTTCCCCACCTGTGACTGGCACAGATGCTAACCAATGGGTGCCGAGATAGGGCGCGCCGGTGCCCCGCCCCCTTGAGCTCCCCGCGGCCCGGAGGCACCCTCTGGCCGACTCCGAGGAGGCGACGGCCTGGGTGGACAGTGCGCCGTGCGCAGGCGCGGAGCTAGACCTCGCTGCCGCCCCCATTGCCTCGGGGAGTCTCACCCACTGAGTCCTCCCGCTGGCCCGTCAGTGCTCTCTCCCTCGTCCGCCCTTCCCGGTTCCCCCAGCGCCCTACGCGCCCCGATGGCGGAGCTGCGGCCTAGCGGCGCCCCCGGCCCCACCGCGCCCCCAGCCCCTGGCCCTACTGCGCCCCCGGCCTTCGCCTCGCTCTTCCCCCCGGGACTGCACGCCATCTACGGAGAGTGCCGCCGCCTTTACCCTGATCAGCCGAACCCGCTTCAGGTTACCGCTATCGTCAAGTACTGGTAAGTCTCGGGCCGCGGGGAGACGGACAGGGACGGGCTCGGAAGGGTTAAAGCGCTGGGGGCTTTAACCGGGGGCGAAGTAATTAGCGCGAGGGGGAAGAAGGGAAGAGAATGGTTAAAGCACTTGGAAGAAGGGCTCCCTGCTGTGAGGGAAGGAGTTAAGGCTTAAGTTGGGAATGGGGACAAAGGGGTTAACGGTGCCCGTGGGTAGTGAAGAGTTAACCGGGATTAGGAGAATAGAGTGAGAACTGCGAGTGTGTATAGGAGCAGAGGGGGGGAACAGTATGAGAGAGGGAACTGTAAACGTGGTGAAAGGAGGGGGCGCCTGTAGGGGGTCATTAGTAGGCGAGGGGAAGCCAGGAGGGGGGACTGCTGAGATGGGATGGGGGATGCGAGGGGAGCCTGAGGAGCCTGGGGAGCATATGAGAAGGCTTTGGAGGAGCGAGGCTGGAGAAGCTCAGGGGGCACGAGACTGCCGAGCATAGGGGCGGGTCTGGGGGCCAGGGACTCCCCTTTGGGTTAGGAAGGGAGCAAGATGAGAGCGTTGTGCTTGTGAAGAGATGAGGCAGAGGTCTTCTTTTGATACCTTCCCAATGAGCTCAGATGCTGTCTCAGTGCAAAGCTTTTGCTTTTGAAGTTTGAGGGAGCGACTCTTACTGATAAACTTTTTGCTTACTTTGCACTGTTCTCTTGGTGCAGAGCGTCCTTCTGGCTCTGCAGCTGCTTTGCTTTAGGACATTAGCTAAGCACAGGGGCAGGGAGATCCATGCTTTGGTTCAGCATTAAAGGGGACCACAACTTCCCACTTCTAGTAGGAAGTAATTGGTGGAGAACTGGGACCCGGTCAGGGAAGAAAGAAGTGCAGTGGGACATTAGGAGGAGCTTCTGGACATTAGCTGCAGTTTCTCCTGGAAGCAGAGGGTAACCCTCAAGTAGCTCTGTTAAGGATCAGTTTACATATGGGTTGCCCTTGGGGGTAGGAATGTTTTTTCTAGTTTCCCTGTTTTCAACCTTTTTCTTCCAGCAGCTTTTGGGCAAAACAGGTGTTGGGCGACAATGTCCTCGTGGTCCTTCTGGACCTAAAGTTAACTGAGGTGTTGGTTGAATCTGTCCAGTGCCACATTCATGCAGGCACTCTATTAGATGATGCCCCTCAGTGAGTCCTGAAAGACTGATCAGGCAGCTGCTTGGGATGTGGCAAAGTGTAGACTGAAGGGGAAAGTGGATATCTTTGCTGGTCACCTCTCCCTTTAGGACTGAGTCTTTCTGCTCCATAATAACCTCTTACTTCCCATGGAGATGGCAGTCAATAGGCTTTGCAAAACTGAGGCCAGCTCCCTGTGTCAGTGGAAGGATGCAAAAAGGCCGACAGCATGGAGGCCTTGGGGACCAGCCCCTTGCTCTCTAGGGAGGGCCATAGTGAGCAGCCTCCTCTGTCTGGGTAGCCAAGAGGAGGTGTGGCCAGCAATGTGGTCCTCACTGGCAGGCAAACTGGTCTTTGGTTGAGAGGAGTTCTTGAAGAGCGCTTCTCAGTGGAAAGCAGCTCTTGCTAACTAAATTACCCATTCTGATTGTGCCTCTGTATTTAACTATGTGTTGTGATGGACTTGTCGTCGAGTGTCCTGAGTAAAGTGGGCCTTGCTCTGCCATTCTGTTTGTTCAGGCCTCATTTGAGTGTGAGTAGAAATCCCTACACAGATTCCGGCAACTGTTTTTATGTCACCCAAGTGTTCATAAAGGATAAGTTGTGTGTAAACGGTATCAAAGCACATGCAAAGGATTAAGACTGTTTTGGACATTTGGTTTTTTTCTTCCTGCTGCAAGCTTGTTAACCAGGTCATATCTTCAGAGATGGGCCAACATTTGATGAAGAATAAAGCGGATTGTATAGCACTTTGTGAAATTAGAGATGCTGCCTAGATGCAGAAAAATATGAGAGGGAACAACTCAGTGACTGGTTCTTTCTAAGATTTGCAAAATTAGGATCCTGAAATTCGTTCTTACCCCTTCACATTTGGGATCCCACGAGACCTCTTCAGTTCTAGCAGGATGACTGACCCAGGCTGCTTGGGTCTGGCTGTGCTCCAGGGTGCCTTGAGATTCCTTTTGCAGTCAAAGGGTGGCTCTTCAGCTAGTGGTCCCTGGCTAGCAGGGACATTCTGGCTGAAAGTTGAGACTTTGATAAGCAAGGATCAAAGCTCAGAGGCAGAACCTGTGCCTTGGACCCACTTCAGTCCTGTAACTGCCCTGCAGAGGGAAGTCAGGTGTTCGAAGAATTAGGTTGAAGGATGCTCTGGGACTTTGGATAACATCTTTTTCTAAGTGTTAAATATTACTATTTTCCATATACTCATCTGGTAGTAGAGCAGAGTGCTCTGTGCTTGGGGATGAGGTTAACTTTGTCTGATCCTTGGTCATTTCCTGCAGTTGGAGTTTTAAGTCGAAGCCTCTCTCCTTGATGTGACACCTCCAGGAAGATGTGGTCAGAAAGAGGGCTGCTATGGCATGGCAGATGAAGTGAGGAATGGTGAACGCAGTTTAACTGCTTCTGGCTGGATGGACCTAGGCTGTAGGAGGGACAGGATTGGGAATTTGCAACAGGAAACTGAAATAGATATGGGATCTATAGTCACTCCTATCTGTTCTGGGTTCTGCAGCTATAAGGGGTCCTTGCAGGGGTCTCAACTCTTTTCTTTCCTCCCTCCCCCAACAAATTTTCTAAATCCAGTTGTTTATGGAATTAGTCAAATGATTTGGCGAAATCAGAATTAAGGAAAGACATGAAAATTTATCCTATTTCCTAACCCTCTCAGTTGAGATTCTGAGCTATTTGCAGTGATTTTCTTACACGTTCTATAAATAACTTAGCATTTCCTAGCAGAGAATAAGGGTTTCTGCAAAGGCACATAATATCCTGGCATATGAGGATGAAACCAGACCTACTGGTTTTAAAAAGTGTTCAAATTGCATAGTACCAGCACACTTGCTGGGATAACATGTAACATGTCTTTTATTCAGTTGTTACCTTTCCCGCAGCACACTATCCCAGTTGCAAAATGCACTCCATCAGTGTCCCAAGGGCAGGCAAAGTTTTTGCAGTCTGTGGAATGAATGGTCAGATGTCTGAAACAGCTCAGACTGCAGTGTTTGTGGGCAATGCAGACTTCTTTCTGCTGATGGTTTCCATTTAGTCTGATTCTCAAGTCTACCAAGTTTTCCTATCCATTCTAAAGAAAAGCAGGATTTTCTTTTCTTTCTTTTTTTTTTTTAAAGCACTAATTACTCTACTGAAAGGAACTCTTTTTAAATTAAGTCCTCAGTGCAAGATAATGACTGAATCTCTTCCTTAATGGCTTCTCTTTTGGAATTGTGGGGGAAATTTAATGTTGTCCTCAGAGGCCCCAAATCACTTAATGTCCCAGCTCTACCTTTGAGGTAGCAGTCTCCTGGGATCATTTTCTGGATGCATGCACTCACAGGGCTCAGCCTGGCTCCTGCTGCAGTTCTCTGTGCAGAGCTGAGCTAGCCTAAGTTTGGCCTTTGTCACTTGCAATGATAAAAGACCAGCTTTGGTCTATGGGGTGCAGGCTGGGATCTGCATGGACTGGAGGCTTTGGGTTTGTTTAGAGCAAACTGTAATTAACATAGGGCACAATATAGTCTTTCAGGAATTAGCTTTCTAAGAGGCAGGAGTGGAGCGGAGCGAAGCCTTTGCTTCACGGAACAATGCCCACTGGAGATGCTCCGGATGGTCTTTCAACAGTGGCCAATTGATTGACTGATGCATCCCTTGCCTTGAAGCTTGGCATGTTTACAGGCACCATAGAAGAGAGATAATCCCTACCAATCGCATTGGTGAAAGCAAAATGGCAACCACCCAGTCTGTTTTATTTCTAAAAGAGGCCCTGACTGTTGGGGGTAGGAGAAGGGAGCCTGTTGTTCTTTGGGGTTGGTCAGCCTCAGCTGCCCATCCCTTGGTCTCATCCCAGAGAGGTGTAGCCACTCTTTAGTTATATTTCACCCCAGGATCCCCCAGGATGGGGCCTTTAGGTTTGCAAGGAAGAGCCCCTCAGCTTGACATTGTCTGGTTTCCAGGCTCACACTGACACTGCTGTGTTTTGTCTTTTGCAGGTTGGGTGGTCCAGACCCTTTGGACTATGTTAGCATGTACAGAAATGTGGGAAGCCCTTCTGCCAACATCCCTGAGCACTGGCACTACATCAGCTTCGGCCTGAGTGATCTCTATGGTGACAGCAGAGTCCATGAGTGAGTGTGTGCCATCTGCCCACCCTCCTCCTGTCTGTTCCTTAGCCTTCAGTCTTATTTCTGAGGTTTTCCTAAGCAGGGGTGATAATGTCATAGTCTTGTGAGAATGGAACTTCTCAGGTAGAACCTCTGGGTTTCTGCCCTCTTCCTTTATCTGCTTGTGCCAAGGCGGTCCAGGTTAGCACCTGAACACTGCTCATCTAGTGCAGGAAAGTATCAGTGAAGAGCAAGAGTTCCAAAACCATCAGAGGCAGGCAATATAGCTATGATACAGAACTTGGGCTGATGCCTCTAAGTCTACTTCCTTTTTCTCCCCAGCTTATTTGAAAACTTTTAATCATAAAGCAAAGTTGAAAGAATTTTACAGCAAACACTCATATACCTACAACCCAGATTTTGCCATTAATATTTTACTCTACTTACTTTATCACAATCTATTCATCTCTCTGTCCCTTTATACATATTACCTACTTCCTTTTAACCTGCATTTACCTGTGCTTAGATTATCCATAGCACATTTTTTGTACTGTTCTGCTTCCATTTATTGCCCTGTACAATTCTAAATCCTATCTGCATCCCCTACTTCCCTCTATAATCATCTAATTTATGTTTAGGGAAAGCAAACACATTTTAATACTAAGTTAAACATAATTAACTTAGTATTAAATCAGCTAAAACAACAACAGTAACCAGAATAATTATAAAAGCTAATGTTTATAAGTGCTGATTCTGAACCAGGTACTCATCTAGAGACAGTATGTCTATATGTTACTGACAAATTTAATTTTCACAACAACCCTATCATATTGGTAGATACTAATGTTCACCCCATTTTACAGATGAGGAAACTGAGACACAAAGAGTATCTATAACTTGCTTAATGTCACATTTTGGAATTGGCAGAGCCAGGATTTGAATACAGGTAGTCTTGCTCCAGAGTCTGTACTCTTAATGACTTTTAAGCAATTATATCATCTCCAATAAGCTACCATCTATAGTTTTTAAAATATATATATGTTTTCCTTATATACACTTTTTTTTTTCCTTTTTGTCTTTTTTTGTGACCGGTAACAGGATCGCAACCCTCGGTGTCGCGCCCATACCGTGACCGGCAACGGGATTGCAACCCTCCATGTCGCGCCCGCACTGCGCTCAACCAGTGAGCGGACCGGTCTCTATATGGGATCCGAACCCTCGGTGGGAGCTCCGCACTCTACCGAGTGTGCCACCGGGCCGGCCCTCCTTATATACACTTTTGAGGAAGGGTTTTGCTTCTCCAATTTAAATGTAGTCTTTCCTCCCCCTCATTAGCTGATTTTATTTCTACTGTCATATCCTCTTCTGTTTTTTGTACCTTTTTACCTTTTATGCCATCTTTTTTTATTGTATCTTTTTCTTCTTTTTATTTGCAGTGGGTTGGTACAGGGATTGAACCCTGGACCTTTGTGTTATCAGCACTATTCTCTAACCTACTGAGCTAACCGGCCAGCCTTGTATCTTTTTTGTATCTTAGTGGTGGTTGCTTAGCCAGGCGGGTTGAAAGAGTAGCAGGGCTCTTCCTGTCCTGCCTCAGCAGAGAGGCTGATTCTGGAGATGATGATATGATGATGAAGATGATGATAGCCTTTTTTCTTTGCTTTTTGTTTTTTTAGTGGCTGGCCAGTAGGGATCCTTTGACCTTGGCGTTAGCTCGAACCAGCTGATCTACCCAGTCAACCCTTTTTTTCTTTGTTTTAGTCCTTACTATCTTCCATGTCATTGTGTTAAATATTTTATAATCTTATCAGGTTTTCTTGTTATCTCCATTTTATAGATGAGGAAACTGAGTCTCCTGGGGGGTTAAATTAATTGCTCAAAAGTCACACATCTAGACTATAAAAGAGCTGGATTTAATCGGGCTAAGTCCAAAGTCTGAGCTTTTAACCACTGGGCTATACCTCCTCTCCAATCACTGACCCAACCCAACTTCCTCTTCTCTCCTGTTAAGTTAGGAGGCCCAGGCCTCATCTCCTTACTGGTCACGTGTTGAGAGCAATTTCTGGGCCTGCCTTTATAGCTTTCCAAACGGATCCATTGCAGTGTCAGCAGAAGGCTTTGGGAACAGGGAATTAATCTTGCCTGAACGGGAACCCTGCATTACAGTATTAATAATGGAGATAGAATAGCAAACAGATGTGGCGAGTAAAGGAACTATGCTAGACTTTAATTCATATTTTTAATAAGAACCTTCAGAGGGTATTTAGTGCAGCTAGTCTGTACCTTTTTGTTGAAAGATTTATTCTAGTTAAAAGAATACCATTTCCTGGGGCCGGCCCGGTGGCGCACTGCTACAGTGCGCCGCTTGGGAGCACGGCGGCGCTCCTGCCGAGGGTTCGGATCCCACATACAGACTGGTTCCCGCTCACTGGCTGAGTGAGGTGTGGGAGCAACACCGAGGGTTGCGATCCCGTTGCCAGTCCCGGTCTGGTACGGGCGCGACACTGAGGGTTGCGATCCGTTGCCGGACACGAAAAAAGACAAAAAAAAAAAAAAAAGAATACCATTTCCTATGTGGCTTAAGGATTCTTCCAGTGTACCGACTTACCAGGTATGGGCCCAAGGCCCAAAATAATATGAAGAATGTAATTAAGAAAGCCCCATATTTCAGAAGGAGCAACCTCTGAATTTGAAAAAAGGCCTTCCTTACTGCTTTTCCATTTTAACACTACCCCCTTACATGTGTATCGTTTCTACATGATGGGGCACTTGATATTCATATGTCATTTATGACAAGAGTGAGACTTCCATATGGGCTTTTACCTCACTATTTGAGCCTAGTATTTTCTGGCATTACATTCTGCCGGTAGAAGGACATGGAAGGAATGTTCTCACCTATTTATCCTGTGCTGGTCTGTGTTGCAAAAGTCAAGAGTACCTTTGTAATTGGCCTTGTACTGGTGTGACTGGTTTCTTCTTGATCATGTTAAGTTTCTTGAAGAGAGATCTGCTTTTCCAAACATTTCATGTGGTGAGGCCTCTTAAAAATGGGTTAATGGACTGTCATTTAACTTAATACTTGAAGCTGAGGTCAGAAAGGTCAGTGTTCTACCATGCAGTTTAAGTGCTGAGAGGCACTGCGTTGAAATTATGGCAAATGAATCTCTGGCAACATTTTTCTTCTACTGTCTTTTGTCTTCTCATTCAGTGAGAAAAAGGCAGAAGCACTGGTTCTTTTTTTCAGCATACATTCATCAAGCACCTGTTTTGTACCAGATACAGAACATAATAATAGATGTGTGGGGGATTAAATGGCAAGACATAATCCCTGTCTCAAGGAGTTCATGTTCTATGTTATTTATTTTTTTATTTTTTATTTTTGTTTTTGTGGCTGGCTGGTACAGGGATTGAACCCTGGACCTTGGTGTTATAGCAAGGGGCTCGTGTTCTAGAGGGGAGACAAACATAAAGAGATGGTTTTAGTATTGAATAATACATGCTACGATCTGTGTGTAGAACGTGATCTGGGAGCAGAGAGGAGGGAGTGACTTTTAGTCAGACTGCTGGATTAGAAGAGGCTTCAGGGAAGAGGTGGCATTTGAGAGGAACCTTTTAGGAAGGGACCTGGGCTGCCATCTGTAGCCTGAGACTCCTACCAACATTTACTTTTAGGACTGAGAGGGAATTTAAAAATCTTCTCGTCTTGTATTTCCAGAACTTCTAGTGCCACCTGCATAATTTTTGTCATCTCTAGTATTATTTATGTTCTCTTTAAGCTATCCTCTCCTTTTTTTTTTGGAAATAATAGGGATCAGAATGCGTGACGTTGGTGTTACAAGGCTGCACTCTAAACAACTGAGCTAACTGGCCAGCTGATCCTCTCCTTTTTTTTAACTGACATATATATATATTTTTAAAAGTTAAATTGCTACCATATATGGAAACCAATATCACTTGCCATAATTTAAAAATGAAGAAATAAACACAATGAAAACAAAGCAATGTTATTAAATTCTAGCTCAATTCTGTGGCCTGTCACAGAAGGTTGTACGCCTGAGGCCAGCTTTCTCTTTGTTGAAGACATTAGCATTTATGAAAGAGGTGTTAAAAACATATGCTAACACCACTTACCTCCCCAACATAATCAGAAAAATTGAAAGAGAATTGCAAAGGGAACTTTTAATCTTATAGTATGATTCAGTATTATTTATTGTCATAGACGAGTCCCACACTTGGGAAACACTGATCTAATCCATATTCCTTAATTGTACAGTTGAGGAAATTATAGTAGCCTGCTATACCCCTGTGATTGGGAAGAGAGGAATGCATGGGGCATTGTTTTTCTTTAAGATAATAATGTAAGCATACTTTTTTTTTAGATTTAAGTTTTTACTATATTCTAGGTTAGTTCTAAGTTCTTTATATAAAATATCATTTTATGTTACCTTCACAGTAATTTTACCCTCACAGTGAGATAAGGAATTCTTTTTACCTCTTGCTTACAGATACAGAAACTCAGGCTTGGAGAAGTTGTTGCACAGCTAGTAAATTAGAAGCTAGGTCTGGTGATCCCCAAGCCTGTATTCTTAGTCACCGTGCTATATTACCTTTCTATTTTAATCAGTCAACAGCATTTATTAAATGACTACTGTGCATTTCCTCCTGTTAGAATCTTTCTGTCTCCTTACAGTTTCTTGAGGGTAGGGACAGGCAGAAGTGCAGTGCTGCTCTGCATTTCTCCGTGTTCCTGGCAGGCATGCTTCAGCCCCACACTGGTAAAGAGGGTAAAAAGAGAAGGTAAAGGGGTAAAAGGGGTAAAGAGCAAGCTGACGGGATGAGCCCTGGAGTGGCCATTTCCACCCAAGTTCTTTCCCTATTCGCATTCACTAAAGGAAAGAGGACAAGAGAGCACTTGTTTGGATCAAAAGGTTAAGAGCCTGTTTCTGGAGTTGGAGAGATGGAGCAAGTTCCCGCTTGGGGCAGCCATAGGGGAGAAGAGTGCTTTTCTAGGAACAGGGCAGAGG